TCCTCATTCTTTAAAGAAGCAATCTCACCATTTAAAGAGGCATTTTCTTTAACTAAAACCTCATTTTGTTTTGAAAGAGATTCAATCTCATTTTTAAGCAATGAAATGGTTTTAGTAAGAGCAAGATTCTGATTCCCTAGTTTCTTGATATCATTCATAGAGCAATCAAGAACTTTGCATAAATCATTATAAGAATACTCAAAAGAACTTTCATTAATTGAACTAGAGAAGTTAGAGTTTACCTCTTCATCATTGTAGCTATCTTCTTGAGCCATGAAGTAAAGATTTGCAACACCATTCTCCAAGGAGCTTTCACTTTCTGTTGAGCTAGTTTCATCATCACTTCAAGTGGCAACAAAAGCTTTCTTCTTCATGCTCTTCTTGTCTTTCCTCTCACTTTTCTTCAATTGAGAGCATTCATTTCTATAATGCCTCGTCTTGTTGCACTCATAGCATTTGATGTGCTTCTTACTTGGCTTTCCTCTATCATCATCATCATCATCATCACTACATTGTCTTCCTCTAGAATAATGAATTTCCTTGTTTCTTCTAGAGGATTTCCCTTTGAGGCTCTTCTTCATGTATTTCTTCACTTCCTTTGAAACCAATTTGGTGATGTTCTCTTCATTGCTAGACTCATCATTGCTAGCATCATCTTCACTATCTTCTTTTTGTTTGCTAGCCTTGAATGCAACATCCTTCTTCTTCTCCTCCACTACTTCAACTCCACCATCAACTTGAACTTCTATCTCATATGTCATCAATTTTCTAGTGAGATCTTCAAGCTTGAGAGTGTTGAGATCCTTAGATTCTTCAATTGCGATCTTCTTGGCTTCCTAACTCTTAGGCAAGCTTTTAAGAACCTTTCTCACCACTTCTTGAGAAGGATAGACTTTACCAAGAGCCTTGAGATTGGTGACTATATCATTCAATCTTGTATACATATCTTGAATGCTCTCCTCTAGTTTCATCTTGAAAAGCTCATACATGTAAATGAGTCTATTGATTTTTGACTCCTTTACTTGGCTTATTCCTTCATGTGTGTTTTCTAGCATGTCCCACATCTCCTTAGCCGTATCACACCCAGAGACTCTATGATATTCCATTGGATTGAGAGCATATTGAAGCATACTAATTGCTTTGTTGTTGATCATGATCTTCTCCAAGTCTTCATCATTCCAATCAATCTCTTCCTTTGGCACCTCTCTTTCTCCAACAATTTTCATAGGTACATATGGACCTTTCATAGTCACAACCCATGCCTTGGGCACATTTGCAAGCATGAAGACCTTCATCCTATTCTTCCAATAATTATAATTAGTACCATCAAAGAAAGGAGGTTTAGTGGTAGACAAACTTTCAAGTGGTTGAGAAGATAGAAATTGAGTCATCCTTGATCAACTCCTAGGTGGTTAAATCTTCAAATTGGAGCCCTTGCTCTCATGCCAATTGTTGACTCAAAGCACTCCAAGAGGGGGGGTGAATTGGAGTTGGAGAATTTTCACCTCTTTGCAACCACCAAACAAAAATTAAAGAGAGAGTTGAGAAGAAGAGCTTGCACAATGATTTTATAAAGGTTCGGTCCAACCACTTGGAGCCTAATCCTCTACCTTGGCTTCACTCACCAAGGATTTCTTCCACACTCTCCACTAACAAAAACAATGGTGGCTTAAAGGAGCCACTCAATCCTTTACAAGAAGAA